TATGATTAATTAAGAGAGGCAGAATAGCATGGTAGCATGTTTATATATATGTTGAAGTCTTCCTTGTGAAATGTTATAACAGAGAATCATGAGAAGCACATGGATACTTGCTCTTCAATCCCCAACTCCTGAGTGCAACACTTTACGCTAATTGAAGTAAATAATTCTTCTGCTCGTGTTCCATATATAGACGGTCTTTCCCTCTTTCATGGATATTCCTGAGAGCACCATAGTATATTTCTACATTTTTTTAGTCGCATTTAGTAACAATTAAAATATATATCAAGTTAAAGCAGAGAAATCCTAAGGAGTACGGATATGATCATAGAAACAAAAGAAAAGTTTGGATTTGGATATCAATTTTTTTTTCTTTTCGTTTGAAATTAAAAGGGTTAATTTGTATGTATATAAAAAAAAAAAGGGTTAATTTGTATGGATGAATATTAAAGGTAAAGAGCACCTACTTTTTAATTTTGCGAAGCAATAGATGAGTAATTGGTAAGAGTGGTGCTGTTGTTAAATCTAAAGATCCCAATTGATCGACGTATTAGTACCCTTTTCACAAAAAAGATTAAAAAGCAAGAGAAGAGAAGCATCAAGAATTTGATAAACCTGAACTCTTTGTGAAGACTAAGAATAGAATAGCCACATGAATTGGCCTTAAAGGAACGAATACATAGATGCATATATAGGGAAAAAACAAGAAAAAAAAAAGGACAAGCCAAGTAGGCAGAAACGTGTTGGAAAGGCTTGTCATCCGGGGAAAAAAAAATAAATAAATGAGAGAATGTAAGAAAGAAATGACGGTTTAAGATTTTTTGTTTTTTGGTTTTTTTTTTTCTCTCACTTATCTTCATTGAGATATCGTACTGAGCAGTGACATCCTTTGTTTGGTGATGAGATTTACTTATAGTTATTATTTTAGCATTGACTTTTTAATTATTTTAATGGCTTTTATGTGATTTTATTTAAATTTTATATAATTTTTATTCTTTATGAAAAAAAGAAAGAATACAAAAGAAGAGAAGTTTTAGGAATTAAATACAATATATTAACAATTTAGGGACTGTATTGCAAGGATGCATTAGGGACTTAAATAAATAAAATTAAAGTCAAAGGATCAACATCATAAATTAGAAGTTAAAGGACCATATGTGCTATTTTAAAATTAAAAAAAAAAATTGCGAAAGGATCCAAAAACCCGGCACGGGCTAGGTTTCGACATCACCTGGCAAGTATCAACCCCCTTTATTGCAGCAAACAAAACACCACAACAGCCTTTGTTTTTTTGTTTTATTGGAAAGGTGTCCACACCATTGGCAATTCCGGCAGGCAGCATTTCCCTTCGAAATTTCCATTTTTGGCACCCGTCACTCCTGTGTTTTGTTAATCTCTATAAATATTCATT